ACACAGTATCTGATACATAAAGGTACTCAATAATACACAGGATATGTTCAGGCATAGTTCATCTGCATGCAGTGGCTTCAAAAGGAGAATCTAGGGAATACAAGCAGCAACAGAAATCAAGTGGGTAACAGCTATACCACTCTGGCATATGCCCAAAGGACATTGCTCCACAGATACCTGCATACATACCTTGGTCATAAACAACTGCTCAACAAGAGGGCAACCATTTCTGATACTCAGTGCTGTTGAAAACATAGTTATTGTATTTATTTACTTAATAAAGCAGCATACTACCTAACATCAATAGAGAACCATGTATCCTTATACCAACAGATAAGTGTAGTATTCATCCCTCATCAAGGAAACTTCTCTTTGCAACAGAAAGAAACCACATCAGAAAATCACAACCAATCAAAATGCATAGTTGTGGGGCCCAGTCTCAATGGATACATCTACAAGACACTCCCAAACCTAAGGCTTACAGGGCATGGGGGAGGGCGACAAAAAAGATTGTAAGAGCCAGAGGAATAGAAACTTCATTGTCAGAGTGTGTCTCCTTGTAATATCAGAAGCTACATCTGTAAAGTCTCATCAACCTGACCACCCACACATTAGGTCAACAAGTAGGACAACAAATATGCCAAACCAGATGGGAAAAAGCCTATGAGACCTCCAACTAATCTGCCCTGAAAATATACATGAAAGTAACATTATGTGGACTTAACAGGTTATGGTGAGGAATGTATATATGTATATACAAATACATGTATGCATGTAATAATAACCGATCAAGAAAGCAGTCATTAATTTTAATGAGAGTGGGAAGGGCTATACGAGCATGTCTGGAGGAAGGAAAGGGAAAAATGTAATTAAATTGCAATCTCAAAAATACCAAAAAAAAAAAAAATTGGGTTGAGAAAATATCCACAAATAAAGGAAATAGAAAATCATTTGTTGTTAATGAAGATGAATGACTTTCAAATAAGCAACACTGGAAATTGCTAATTATCTACTGTAGCAAAGTTTTAAACTGGTCTATTCCCTGATAACTCTAACATGTTGCAAACACGTTCAATGAGTGATGTAATTCAGTTCTCTTAAATGTAAGAAGCATGTTTCTTTCCCTAGAATCTTTGTTCTGTATAAAGTACTGCCAACTATTCCAATCTTAAAGCTAGACAAATCCACAGATTCACAAATTCACAGATTCCTTCTCCTTAGAACAGAGAGGGAAAGCCATGAGAGAAAGTCCAGTTTTCAAGGACAAATCCCTGTGATTCAATGTCAACCCCATACTGAGATCACAGAACAACATCCATATTGTGGAGTTCCAGATGCCAGAAAACCAATTGTTATAGAATAATCAGCATTGATTTTTTTTTCCCCAGACCTGAGGCAGTGGCCAGTAAGGAGTAAAATGGTTCCCATTATACATTATCAAACATTTTATCTCAACCTTTGTTTTTTTTTATAATTTTTATTTTTTTATATTAATCACAGGTTATTTACTTGTATCCCAGCCATAGCCCCCTCTTTCATTCCCTCTCAATCCCACCCTCCTTACCTCATCTCCTCCCTGCCCCATTCCAAGTCCACTACTAGGGAAGGTCCTCCTCCCCTTCCATCTGACCCAAGCTTATCAGGTATCTTCAGGACTGGCTGCAATGTCATCCTCTGTGGCCTAGCAAGGCTGTTCCTCCCCCCCCGGGGGGGGTTCAAAGAGCCAGCCATTGTGTTCATGTCCGAAATAGTCCCTGTTCCCCTTACTAGGTCACTCACTTGGATACTGAGCTGCCATGGACTACATCCGAGCAGGGTTTCTAGGCTATATCCATACATGGTCCTTGGTTGGAGAAACAGTCTCATATAAGACCCCTGTGCCCAGATATATTTGGTCCTTGTGGAGCTCCTATCCTTTCCAGGTCATATTAACTCCCCCTTCTTTCATAGGATTCCCTGTACTCTGCCAAAGGTTTGGTTATGAGTCTCAGCATCTGCTTTGATACATTGCTAGGTAGAGTCTTTCAGGGGTCCTCTGTCAACCTTTGTTTTTTTTATCTCGAGATTTTAATCTCAACATTCAACATACACTGTGCTAGAGGAAAGCTCATTGTAAGACTCTGCCCAGCCACACAGGCATTTTCTATTCTATAGAAAATAAAACGGAATGACATTTTCATTCTTATGAAGCCATGCATAGGGTCAGTGAACTAATGAAAAGAGGGTATAATGGTTGCGGTATATCCCAATAATTTCAGGCAGTTTAGCTGATTACCTGAAGAAAATGGTTTGAGTCTATAACAGTTTTACAACATTACATTGGGGGGGGGGGATCATGAATAATGGTTATAATAAAAGCCCATGGGAATAGAGTCAACAAATTAATGGAAAGGTGTTCTAAAAACAGAGTAAGTAAATGGAGCCAACAGGGAGTTGTAGTGGTGCTACATCTCTTCTGGAGAGGAAACTTTATTCCTTGGCTTTTGCAGCTTCTCTTTTTGTGCTCTTTGTCTTCTGGAAGCATTGGGTTGCATCTTCTTGTGCTATCTCTCTGGTACTCTCTTTTCTGAATTCCTCCTTGATATTAAAGCACTAAGCTTTCCAGGATAACCAGTAGAAATTCTATGTCAAGGTCACCTGATTGACAACTTCAATTTTACCTATATCCTCCATTCCCCTTTGCTATGTTTAAAAAAAAATATGAAAACTATGTACTTTATCAAGGCTTCAGCTTTCCACACAGTTTGTTTTCTGACACTTTGTGGAAACTAACTTTGCTAGATACCTCACCATCACCCACAAAAGGAAGATGATCTAGACTGCAGTGAAGAAAAAATATGAGTTTCATGTTAGTAACAGAAAATGTAGGTTACCTGTGGACCATCTACACACACAGAGAGCTTATGCAGAGATCCCAGAACTGATTCTTTGAGCTTTGCAGCTCAGAGCTTTGCTTATCCCCTGGCTATACAGACACTATGATAATCTGTACACATTCTCATGTATGTCAGGACCAATGTAAGACTGCGAAGGGTTAATTGGCAGCATATGCATTCTTAGTACTCAAAAGATCCAGGAATGACAATTCTGAGACTTCAGCACACAGGTGCTAGTAACCAAAGACATGGAGAGATTTTCACTTCCAGATATAGTAGGGCAACGGGCACAAGACTTATCATCTTGATATAACTATTGGAAAATAAGACAAACTATACAAAGCTGCTGTTTTTAGTCAAGGAATGGGCAACTCAGGGCTTTGACTGACAAAATGAACAAATAAAGGAAAGCTTGCTATCTGAAAATTATTTTTGAATTAAAAAGAGGATTTAGAAATCAAGCTAAAGTCTTGCTCAGCTGAAGACACTGAAAAACAAACAAGTAAACTTTAGAAAAGGTTAGCTAGCTAGAATTTCCAAGGCTTGGGCTGAGGATGGACCTTAGTAGACAAAGATTCTTCTAGAATGCATAGAGCCCTCAATTCCATCCCTAGCACTACAAAAAAAATGAAGTGTACACAGTAGAGTACCAAAGAAGGAGCTTTATAGAGAAAGCAGTAGCCAAAATCTGAGCCAGCTGCAGAATACAAAGCCGTGCATAAATAATAAACCCAGGTGAAAACTCAACAAGCTAGGCAAAAAATAACAGACCGATACACTGAAAAATGCCAGAAATTCACAGAGCTAGTAGATATTTGTGTGTGTATTTTTTTAAATTTGTGTGTATATAAAACACATGTACATAGTTTGTATGTTTGGTGTGTGTGTGTGTGTGTGTGTGTGTGTGTGTGTGTGTGTGTGTGTGCCTGAGTGTAGGATTTTTTATGCCATGGCTCCAATGTGGAGGTCAGGGCACACTCTTGGGTGAGGTTCCTCATAATCTAAACTTCTTGAGATAGTCTCTTCTTCACTGCATCAGGCTTGATGGCCCACATGCTCCAGGAATTCTCCTTTCTCCACTATCCATTTTGTCACAGGTGCACTGGGATTACAGATGCTCCTCTCTACCTTACCTGGCTTTTTACATGAGTTCTGGGCATCTAGATCCAAGTCCTCATGCTTGCACAGGAAGGGCTTTACCCACTGAGTCATCTCCCCAGTCCAAAATTTGTGTTCTAGTCAGTAAGAATGAAGATACAAGAGACATCAAGACTTACTAGGAAGTCTAAACAAGCCAGTACAGAACACTTTATGTCTAGCCTGACAAACTCATACAGAAACTCAATAATTACCTACAGAAAAGAAAACTAAACATCAAAAAACAACAAAACAGTAAAAGACTACTTCAAAGGTTTTTTACTCCATGAAAATAAGATACTTAATAGTCTTAACAGTGAGCATCCAATAACAACACACATACAGACAGTATTTCAAAGGAAAATGTAACCAATATCCAAGATAAATTCAGTAAAGGAAAAAACTAATTAAATGCCAATACAGAATTAAAAAAAATACCTTTAAAACTTTACAAGGCAGTAGGGGACAAAAGATCTAGGAAGAGTTAAACGAAAGAAAATCATATATCATGAAAGTCAAGGAAGGAGACAGTTCCCAGAAGGAGACATAGTTCAACCAGGAGAGCAAGTAAGGCGAACTGAAGAGTGCTCCTTGGATTTGGCAAGCATGCAAATGATCATCATGGCCAGAGAAGTTCCAGCAGAAAGGCAATGGCAGAACTAGATTTCCTACGGCCTGAGGAGTGAATCGGATGAGAGGAATGAGAGGTGACAGACATTTATTCAATGCAAGATGGTCTCTGACTCAACGCATGTAAAATATTTATCTTAATAGTCTACAGGAGAGGTATGGTGCTACTTGGGAGGTTGAGGCAGCACGATTGCCTGAGTCTAGGACTTTGACACTAGCCTGAGCAACAGAACAAGACAACAACTCAAATTTAAAAATATTCTTCAACCTTTCCAAGAAACGCATTATTTCTCTTTCAGTCACATTTGTTTCTATATAAGCTATTCCAAATTTTTTAAAAATGTAAAATTGTTACCAAAAAAGGCATTGAGTAGCTTCTGAACCTGGATGTTGCTGCCCACAGTACGGTACAACCCTTCTGTCTTGATCCCTAGGAAAGAAAAAAGCAGATCATCTTTGTTCACATAATTCCAGCTTTCATGTTCCCCAAGACAGAGAAAGGAACCCCTTGTACACTGATGTTAGTTCACAGATAATCCTCTCTTCAAGTTCTCCAGCCCTTCCCTGTTACAGAGGAACAGCCCTATGGTCCTCATCATGTACTCCAAACTCATTTGTGATTCCATTTGATTGTACCCATTCCCCATTAATCGGAAGGGAAGAGATTATAGCAAATAGACATGTGCTTCAGGGAGTCACAACTGGTAGCTGAGAAACAGTCTGCCAGGTTGGAAGGGAGCTATCAATTAAAAGATACTGAGGTGGTACCAACACCCCAATTGCTTCCAAGCTGTGACATAAAGAAGGAGAGGGTTGGAGTGTGAAAAATGTGAAACAAAAGACCATTTTTGCACTGAGAAAGGCTGAAACAATGTTTCAAAGAAAACAATGATTCACACACCACAGCAACCTACATTCTAAATATCTTCAGAAGGAAACAAAGGCATTTAATGGTCAGTAGAGACAAATGCTGATTCTACATTCCCGAGTTTAGGTTTGACCTCATCAATTTTTAAATTGGTGTTAAATAGATATATGGTAGAAGCTGAGTTCTTGGTTGTTTGAGATGGAACCATCACTAAACTGCTTGAGGAACAGTAGGTACTAATTCCGAATGCATTCTAAATCAAGCAAAGTTTTGCTCTCTAAAAGTGGAAACCACAAATTATGCATATATTGTTGGATGAGGAATGCTATGATGGTTGCCAGTTTAGAACTAGCTGAAATTTTAAAAATTGTGTCCAGTACACAAGCTATCATAACACGGTCCAAGAATAGAGTTGTACGAAAGGAATTCTGAGTGCTTTTGAGAAAACTCCAAGAAAACGAGACAAAAGTCATATGACCTCTGTTTCTTCAAAACCATGAAATTGTTCTTGGAATGCAGTTGTGTGCCCCTCCCAGGTGTAACAGATAGGAGTAAGTTTACTTCAGGTTATTCATTATAACTGGCTATTGTTATTTGTTTATATGCCTCTATGAAAAAAAAAAACATGTTTTTGCCATATATGACTTGTCCTACTGATTGTACGCTTTACTCATGTGACTCTTTTTAACCCTTAGAGTTTAAAATTGTCTGAGGCTCTGAATAAAGTTGGCTATTGTATGAGACTTTAATCTGTCTTATTTATTGGATATATTCGCCTGGGCTCAAACACCAATCAGAGCAGTAAAAACAAGCTTTATAAAACACTGTCATCCTGGAGATGAGTGCTGACCCACAGATAACGCCATTCCTACTTTAGAGAAGGCTCCTTAGGATAAAAGCAGAAGGGCCACATTCAACAATTTCAAGGTGACAGTTTAGATCTTACCTTTCGTCTCAATAAAATTGATGCACTTCCTAACAAACTTGAACCCCACTTCATTCAACTCCACTGTTTTGAGGAAATGAAAGCAGAGTTAGTTCATAGCATAATAAGCAGTTGGTTCAAGAGTCACAGGATGCAACAACAGTGAGAGAACTAGTCGGGCAGGTGCACATCTCTATTCACACTTAGACTCAATGGTGACAGGCTCAGGGTAGGTTTAGACTTTCGTAACACAAAATGCTTCTGTTTATCCCTTTATATCACATCTGCCCTAAACATGAGCAAATGTAAACTGCTACTGTGGGAATGCACACAGTTTTGATCATCCGTCTGGAATAAGGGGGATCTTAGTGTATTTCTCTGTATCATCAATAGCATTCATATAATAGGTTTCAGTTAAGTTACTTTCCTAGGTCAATCAATATGCAATTTCAAATCAGGGCTAGAATTCATTTTACAGTTTTACATGAATGGCACGTGTCATCAATACTAGTATTTACTGTATTTGGGACAACTTGGAGCTTATAATGTTAATAGAGTAAATTTTTGAATTACTTACTTTCTTCCTGTTTTGTTATAGGGCTGTGGTAGATCTACAAAAGAAGAGATCCAAAAAGGGCTCAGTTATTGTGACTCAGTACAAATAAGTAGGGCAAATAGGATTAAATTCCATTCCCTAGATAGGCTATCAAAACCATTGGAGATGCTAGAGCTGTAACAACAAAAAAAGAGATTAAACAGAGTTATCTTTGCCCAGATCCCTAGAAAACACAATCCCTGAAAACTGTACTGTATGTTCACACAGTTCGTATAGCTAAAGCTGCAGCTGACTCACCTTACAGATTTACTTAGATAAAGCTTAGGGCATTCTGTGGTGGAGCAAGAACCCACAAAAAAAAAAAAAAAAAAAAAAAAAAGAAAGAAAGAAAGAAAGAAAAAAGAAAAAAGAAAAGAAAGAAAAAAAAAAGAAATGAAAAGAAAGTGGTCCTCTCAAAGACAGCCAAGTAATGTGCATTGGTTGTAAAACAGTTAATGAATGGTTCTCTTTGGAAAGGCAAGAATTCATCTGAAGGAGAGTCATCTTGCAGTATATACTTTGATAACTATGTACAAGACCAGAACAGAGACTTTGGTTTCTTTGAGATTTGTTTTGGTTTTGCCTACTAGTCATTGTAAGATTGGTCATGCCCTTTCCATTATCTAGATGTCATGTTTCTCATCAATTCAATGATCAGGGTTGAAATAGCTATTTTTCTTGCAAGCCCTTGGTCCTCTTAGACACCTGAAGCAAAGGAACACATGACTCGTATTATCAGTGGATTTGGTGAGGCTAAGCCCAGTCTCTCCTTTTCAAAAATAATGGTGCTGTATATATATATATATGTGTCCTGATAAGTATTTTCAGGGAGAGGCCTGTCTACATAAAGCAGCATTTGCTGCAACCTTTATAAACCAAGGGCTTAGTGAACTCAGCCACAATCAAGCGGGTGAGGTTGCATGTTCAGAGGATCTATATCTTACCACCATTCTCCACCATAAGCCACTAATATCTTCTAATCTTCAAAAAAAAAAAAAAGGTAGACCAAGTGTAGGAGAGGGATGGATATATAAATGCCTTGCTCCTAGCATCCTCCTAGAGAAATACCACAGGCATGGAAAGGCCAAGCTTCGGGTTTCCAGGAAATGAACGTCATTCCACTTCTAGCTGCTACAAATGCAATCTCAGAGCTGGCTACAACCTTATGTTTTTCACTATTATTTTTATTTGAGTTAGGGGAGGGGTGTGCATGTCACGGCACATGTGATAGCCAGAGGACAACTCATGGGAGTCAGTTCCCTCCTTCCACCACATAGGGTCTAGGTAATTGAACTCAGGAGGTCCCAAGCTTGGAGGCAGGCACCTTTATTTACCCACTAAGCCATCTTACTGGTGCTGAATTTTACTCCACAGAGAACCAAGGACACAAATTAAGAATACGTTTTTCCACAGTCTAGCTTTTCACTTGAAGAGAGCAAGGTGGTAAGGCTATATTTAAATACTGTAGTAGTCCTACAGTTGTTCTCCAAACCAGGGAAGAGGAACCAAAACTAATACAGCACTCTAGTGTTTGTAGAGTCGTTTCCATTTGATTGTTCAAAGTAATCCTGAGATGGACATAGAAGAGAAATCATTAAAAGCAACTCCATGAAGAAGAAGAAGAAGAAGAAGAAGAAGAAGAAGAAGAAGAAGAAGA